TAAAAAATATTCTTTATATTTGACAAAATCGTGTTTATAGGTGCGCCGTGCATAAACGCACAGAAAAAACATGTAGTCCGGATTTTTTTTTATCTAACACGATTTTGACAAATAAAAAGAAAATTTTTTGAGAGTGTTGAATCTTTGGAATTGGGCTCGATCGGTTCAGCAGTTTTGCCGTTTACAGACAAGCAAAGTACAATATATCGGTGATGCTTCTAAATTAACTTTTGGGTCCGTTGATCCAACAAATTGTCTTAAATAAATAATTTCTTCAAGTGAATAATATATGATTAGTTAGTATAATATTGACTGGGATGGTAAGCAATTAATAATTCATGCAAAAAAATCGATTAATAATTCATACACACTCTCTTTGTTAAGTTAACGATAAAATATTTCATGAAAAATTCCTTTGAAGAGACTATATAAGCGTAAATTTCAGTAACCCAGCAAGTAAAGATGCAATGCCCGATTTACAACGAGTTCCTCCATTACTTCTTATAAACAAGGAATGTGCGATGCAATTTCGCAAATAAAAATAAACAGTTTAAATAAACAAAATTGACATCTAATATATACTTGATCAGACAAAGCTTGCAAGGGTACCGTTGTAAATCGGGCATTGCCATCTTTACATTGAGGGTAGTTTGAAAATACATTTGTATGTCCCTTTACATAAGAAAATTAAATGTAAATTTATTACGTAGACGAATAATATTAAAGGGACAGACCAGCTATGTAAGGTAGTTGAACTGAGTATGCAGTGTTTTGGAAAGTTTATTTAGGATTCATTTGAGACATATAAAACTTTTTAAAGATCTGTAAATCCTGAGTTTGAGCGCAAATTCGACGTTCAAAACTCCTACTTTGGGGGTGGATACGTTTTCAGAATTATTTTTTTTTATTAAATAACGACGACATAAAATGTAAATGAAATTTTACAGTAAACTGCGTAGTTGTTAAGGAACAGGTTGAGAAAATAAAAATTAATCTTATCATCGAAAATAAGTAATCTTGTTCAATTATTAGTTTCTATTTTCTCATTATTCACAAAGATTTTCTGCAGATTTTCTGGAATTATTATCAAAAAGACGACATGTGAAGAATTTAAAGAAATCTGCGAATAAATTCAAAGAAAATAAGAAATTCAATAAATGAAAAATCGAAATAATTGATTCTAGCATTGATTTATTGAAAAATATGTTCTTAACCATCTTATTAGATTACTGTATAGATTTTACTTTATTTTTCAAATGAATCCTAAAGAAGCTTTCCACAACACTGCATACTTAGTTCAACTACCTTAAATAGCCGGTCTATCCCTTTAAAAACAAAAAAATAATAACAAATTGATAAGACAAAAGGTGTTTTTTTGCCTGTATTAAGAAAAGGCAAAATGAACTGAGTTTCTGCCACAAATTCAAATTGTCTAATTCCTTTATATTTGCAACCAGATTGTGTAAACCTTTGAAATTTCAAATGTATTATTTAATTTAACAGAATTCAGATTTTTAAATATTTAAGACCTGACATTGAATGCAATCATGTAGGTATCAGAAAATCATAAATTGAGGCAAAGACTCAATTACTTTTGGACAATGACTGTACATCTAGATGTAAACTTTTCCAACGTTTTTAGTAAAACTTTACTTTGAAATAAATTAGTAGCTATTTGTTTTACGTAACATGTGTTTCTGTTCTGTAAATACAATGTAAACACAAGGTGAGTAAGAAATGTTTTCACTTTTATATGTTTATTCTTGATGAGATACCTTTCACAACAATGTTATACAGTGTTGAGAGGGGAGAGATTTACTCATTTCTTGCACAAATAAACATTTTCGTGTAGATTATTTGATAATATTTTCTAGATCTTCAAAATATATATTTTTTTATTTCAAGTTTGGATTTTATTTGAGTTAGTTCTAAAATAATTTCATATTGTAATATTTTTTCAGGGTTTTAACCTTCTCTACTTCTCTAATTCTCTAGTTTTTTAATTCTTTAGTTTTCTAGTTCTTTAGTTATTTAATTCTCTAGTTCTCTAATTCAATAGTTCACTAGTTCACAAGTTCTCTAGTTATCTTGTTCTCTAATTCTCTAGTTCTCTTGTTCTCTAGTTCTATAGATCTCTAGTTCTCTAGTTCTCTAGTTCTCTAGTTCTCTAGTTCTCTAGTTCCCTAGTTCCCTAGTTCTCTAGTTCTCTAGTTCTCTAGTTCTCTAGTTCTCTAGTTCTCTAGTTCTCTAGTTCTCTAGTTCTCTAGTTCTCTAGTTCTCTGGTTCTATAGTTCTCTAGTTCTCAAGTTCTCTAGTTCTCTTGTTCTATAGTTCTCTAGTTCTCTAGTTTTCTAGTTTTCTAGTTCTCTAGTTCTCTAGTTCTCTAGTTCAATAGTTCTCTAGTTCTCTATTTCTCTAGTTCTCTAGTTCTTTAGTTCTTTAGATCACTAGTTCTCAAGTTCTCTAGTTCTCTAATTCTCTAGTTCTATAGTTCTCTACACAGTTCTTGGTAGATTTGATGAAAATTGTGTTAAGCTCCAATATTTTTGAGTTTAACAATAATTTATACCGTCAAGAAATTTGAACAGCTATGGGTACCTCTAGTGCTCCAACCTATGCAAATATTCTATTGGGAGAAATTGATGAAAAACTAAAGAATTTAGCTCTTTCACTAACAGTTTCCAACCTTATAAGTCTATATAATAGATTCATTGATGATATTTTCACTATATGGACTGGAACTGTAGAAATGTTGGAACTAATCCTAGACAAGATCAATAATATACATCCAACTTTGAAATTTACATTTTTTTTTCCTGTGACATCCCTCCAACTGTTCTCCATGACTGCTTTTGCTACTTAAGCCGCGCTATACCATTCCTAAACACCCTAGTATCTATACAGGATGGTAAACTAGTAACTGACCTATATAGAAAACCGACAGACAGGTGTATGTACCGTCTCCCTTCATCCTGTCATCCAACTCATACTACTAGGAACATACCTTACAGTCTAAGTTACAGACTTGTCAGGATCAGTAGTAATCGTACAACCCTCCTTTCCAGGCTTGAGGAATTATCTAAATTGCTTTTATCTAGAAACTATGATAAAACTTTAATAACAAATGCAATTAATCGTTCTCTCCAACTGTCCAGAACAGAGTGCCTGAAAAAAAGTTGTCAGAAAACCTTCAAATAGAGTTGTGTATGTCACCACCTACCATCCTGCACTACCTTCCTACAGTAAAATTTTGAACAGGGCCTGGAAAGTAATGGTTAAAGATCCATATCTAAAGGATGTATTCAAAAACCCTCCTATTGTTGCCTACAGGCAACTCAGAAACTCATCATTGCAGAGCCTCCTTGTAAAAACAAAACTCCCAAAGGAAACAAGGTCCAGGAGAACCCTAGTAGGAATGAAAAAATGTAACAGACATGGGTGTAACACTTGCCCTTTCCTACACACCACAGAGAAGGTAAAAAGTTCAAGATCAAACTTTGCTGTAAAAATAAAAACTCTTGAGTCTTGTGAAAGTTACAATGTGGTTTACTGTATATCTTGCAACAAACATAGTTGCCACAATATACAATTGTTAACCATTAATTTAAGACCTCTGTAAAATGTCGTCTTCAACTTGAATCTCCTGTCGGAGACAGCCAAACCAAATTTTCAGCCCGCAATTCCCTTTGTCCTCCTCCCACGGAGCTTAAAATATTTTCGTTGTTGTGAAATCATTAAAGTTAAGCAAAATATTTCATAAGAAGCATTAGTGAATTTCGTTAAATATTCAACTGTAATTTTTCAGAAGTTAAAAAAACGTATTTCAATACTGATCAACAATAAGTCACCCCCGACCATCCCTAAATAATTCGTAAGATTTTTTCTACTATTAATATTCATTATAACATTGTACAAGTAACCATGACCTATAATTTATGTTATTTTTTAGGAAATAAAGATTTTGTTATCGAATTTCTGAGACGGGTTACTCTGTTGTGTGTATTTGTGCGGCCTATCGGGAAAGAATTGTCTGGGGATTATAAACATCCCCCACCAGAATCCTAACTGGCCTATTATCCTGATTTGTCTAGCGTGTTGCTGTTTTCCGTCAACAACAATATATTGGAGAAACAGGAAGGAGATTCTGATAGGTTTAGAGAACATATAGGTTATGTAAAAAGTGCTAATTTAACACAACCTACTGGAAATCATTTCAACCCTCCAGGACATACACTATCAAATATGAAAGTTACAGTTCTTGAAAAATGTAAAGAAAACAATCCAACATATCGGAAGATCAGAGAATCGTATTTTATCAACCAGTTTAACGCAACAGCAAAAGGACTAAACAAAAAAAGATGATACAACTTTCTGTTGTGGCTTTAGTGTGGTTGTTTTCTGTTTAACGAATTTAGTCTTCGTTGTTGTTCTATAGTTGTTTTTCTTATATGCTAATTGCAATATTTTTTTTAAAAAAAAGTATTTGTTACATTATCGTTATTTTTAATTTGTAATAATTTTGGTCATTTTCTGTAGGACTGATGAGGATATGAAATATATCGAAATTAATTTCCAAACCCGAGTTTTTCTACCTGTGAGAGTGAAACCTTTTTTTGCCAGTTTGGACAATTTACATATAGTTCTCTAGTTCTCTAATTCTCAAGTTGTATAGTTCACTAGTTCTCTAGTTCTCTAGTTCTCTAGTTCTCTAGTTGTATAGTTCTCTAGTTCTATAGTTCTCTAGTTCTCTAGTTCTCTAGTTCTCTTGTTCTTTAGTTCTCAAGTTCTCTAGTTCTCTAGTTCTCTAGTTCTCTAGTTCTCTAGTTCTCTAGTTCTCTAGTTCTCTATTTCTCTAGTTCTCCAGTTCTATAGTTGTCTAGTTTTATAGTTCTCTAGTTCTATAGTTTCCTGGTTTTCTAGTTCTTTAGCTCTCTAGTTCTATAGTTCTCTAGTTCTCTAGTTCTCTACTTTTTACAAATTTTATTTTTTTTTTAAATATTTTTAAGACAAAGACCAAACTCAACTTACAAATCGGTATATATGACATAATGATTATTTTTCTCTCCGTGAGCTGACCATTACAACAAAATAAATTCGAAATTCTTTGCTTTGGCAAATCAGCACATTGACACTAGACAAAATGAATTTACAAAACTTAAGAATTAATGGAAATAAAAGAACAATTCGACGATCAATGTAAAAAGAACTACAGAATTTCACAGATTTAGATTTCGAACCAACTAGAATACCGCACTGTTAAAAATTAAACAGCTGCCAGAGCTCTCTGCATCAAAATGGAAAAAGAACCTCATCCGCTGAAGAATTGGATTGCGGAGAGGTCGTCTCAGCTAATTTGTCAAGATAAAGAATTCAATTATAATGTCAAAGTCTCATATTATGTGAATATACCTTTATTTTTTAAACTAAACTTTTTTAATAGATCATTTACTAAGGTAAAGAATTTGTTGGGTTCAATGTTTTTTATTAGGAAAGGATAAAAAATATTTATTTTAAATTAATCGTTTTTTTAAAGTGATGTTCCTTTATCATTTCAATGCAATCAAGAGAAAAATCCCTTAGAGAAATATATTCTTCTTTTTTGCTTTTTTTACGTTTTTCTTCTTCTTCTTCTTCTTCTTCTTCTTCTCCTTCTTCATCTTCTTCTTCTTCTCCTTCTTTTACTCTTTCTTCTATTTGTTGTCTTGAACAATGAGCGGGAAGAACGGTAAAATCTACATCACAGATATCTGAACAAAATATCATTCAATTATTTTATTTATCCATTCTAATCTTAAATTTAAATGAAATTTATTTCAATTGTATTAGAAAATAATTAACAAAACCAAAAAAGTTTATATAATAACTAGGGTTTCAGGGCGCTTCGCACCCATCTTCTTTTTCAACTTTTAATTGTGGCTTTATCTCTGAACATCTTCTCTTTGTACAGATAAAACAAAAACAAAAAAAGTTTGCGGATTTCATAATATTTTTTTGCGCATTTTTTAATTTTTTGCAAAAATAAAAAACTTTTAAACACAAATTTTTAAAATTTTAATCATTCATAAACCTTCCCTGGGGTCACGTGAGGTCCCACAAAAAATTTGGGCCCGATCGGTTCAGCCGTTTTGACGTTTATTGGATACAAACAAACATATCAACAGACAAACAGACAGACAAGCCAAATTTATATATAGATAATAAAGAATACAAAGGTAGCAGAAAAAGAAATGAAATAAAAATGTAAAAGTTTAAGAATAAATGAAACCATAAATATATGTTAAATGTTCATCACGTAAACAATCTTAAAACTCCGTTTAATGAAATTAATTAGTATGTTTAGCAAACTAAAACTATTTACTAAATAAATATATAGATCTTTTAAAATAAAAATCAAGAACCCAGCCATTCAGTATTCAATATTTATATATGAACAAAATATTCTATATAATGTATTAAGAAAATAACCCTATATTTGATTAATATGGAATATACATTAAAAATAATATCAAATATTAATTCATATTTATCACAGGGAAGTGTATAAGATACAAGATATATTCTTTTTAATATATATTCTCACGTGAATATTTTAATCTATATATGTTAGCTATAGCTGGCCAAGTACGGCCGGACCGAAAAGGCTGATTTAGGGAAACCGTGGGTAACAGGGAAGTAACAAAGTATAAAGAAATTTCGAGATTTAAAAAAAATGTTTAAATTAAATTTTACCAAATTCCACGGGCAACACACTTTATCTTGTAGGATATATAATTCACCTTTGTTTCATTACTGCTAGATGGTTCCGTATATCATTGCAACCCAATGTCGTAGACTTTTGATTTTTCAAGCTATCAATTTTGGTAGAACAGATTGTTTAAGCAATAGATATCAATCGTTTTCACCATAATATTGCGGCAAAGATATTTGGATTAGCAAATTTGAGTTTCTGGCAAGAACTAAATTTCTCAGTCTGAACTTTTTTTTGATAAGTATGTTTTTTATTTTGCACAATCTTTGCACAAGTTATTTCATTCGTTCGTGATCACTGTGTTTCAAAATCATGAGGATGATCGTTTTAATAGATATTGAACTTTAGAGAGAATTTAAACATTAAATCATGACAAAGTAATTCCCTTATATCTGTAAATACCTAATTTTTAAAAGGATATTATTTTTCGTAAAAATAAAAATCATCGAGATTAAATAAATTCTTAAGATTGAAAAACTGCAAATCATTTTCTTAATTCTTATGCACTTTGTTATCAAAGAACCTTAACCTTTTTTACTTCGACAATTTGTGTTTTTAAAAAACGCCCGTTTTTCATTTTCTGAATGATCCAAGTCGTTCGTCCATCCTTAGTTTTTTTTAAATAACACGATCGATCCTTCATGAAAACTTTTGTTTGTTCTTAAAAATTTGGTAAGTTGAAAAAAACGATGCATATCTCCATTTTTACCTATACTATACCCATCTCTATTTTTACCTATACGATGCCATCTCTTTTTTTACCTATACGATGTCCATCTCTACTTTTACCTATACAATGCCCATCTCTATTTTTACCTATATGATGCCAATCTCTATTTTTACCTAAACGATGCTCATCTCTATTTTTACCTATGCGATGCCCGTCTCTATTTTTACCTATACGATGTCAATCTCTTTTTTTACCTAAACGATGCCCATCTCTATTTTTACCTATATGATGCCCGTCTCTATTTTTACCTATACAATGCCCATCTCTATTTTTACCAATACGATGCCAATCTCTATTTTTACCTAAACGATGCCCATCTCTATTTTTACCTATACGCTACCCATCTCTATTTTTACCTATGCGATGCCCATCTATATTTTTACCTATACAATGCCCATCTCTATTTTTACCTATACGATGCCAATCTCTATTTTTACCTAAACGATGTCCATCTCTATTTTTACCTATACAATGCCCATCTCTATTTTTACCTATACGCTACCCATCTCTGTTTTTACCTATACGATGCCCATTTCTATTTTTACCTATGCATTCTATAGGAAGAGGTAGAAAGGGTTCAACATATGAGCAGTAGAGAGGTAGAGAGGTACAGGGAGGTGGGACGTAATTAACAGGCCGAGAGGTTGTTGGGTGGGAGGTAGGTCGAGTAGATTGGGGAGTAGGCGGGGTAGTGGGAGGGGGAGTAGGGTAGTAGGTAGGTGGAGTTGATGATGTACTAGGAAAGTAGGTAGATGGAGGTGATGATGTACTAGGGTAGTGGGTAGGTGGAGATGATGATGTACTAGGGTAGTAGGTAGGTGGAGTTGATAATGTACTAGATGAAGATGGATAGTAAGAACTAGATGTTGAAATTACTGGACTCCATGTTACAGGATTCTAAATCATAATCATAATCAACTTTATGTTAACTATGAAAATATAAAGCTATAACCACCGTGATTAACACATAACAATAAAAAGGGGATGGGAATGTGATAGGGGGATCTTGTTTTTTTTTTGTAAAACAGAAAATAATTTATTATATGATGTAATTAAACCAAATGTTGTTTATTTTAACTCTTTAACACGGCGCTACGACATCTGCTCTATTTCCATTTGCTCTATGGCCAACTGCTCTAGTTCCATTTGCTCTATATTCCATATGCGCTATACCTCATTTGCTCTATAACCTTAAAATACAATATAAAAAAGATTTTATTGGAATTAGATATGCAGCATTTTTTTGGAAAAATCGCAAATTATTAAAACTTAAAATGACGTGTTTACTCAGAGAGCAAATGTTGAGTAGAGCAATTGGATCAAGACAGTTATAAACATGTTTATTGAGCAAATGACGTGTTAAGTCATAGATCAATTGACGTATTGAGCAGATGACATATAGAGCAAACATCGTGATGCATGAGCTATAGAGCAAATGGTTAATAGAGCAAAAGGCCATAGAGCAAATGGAAATAGAGCAGATGTCGTAGCGCCCTTTAATTAAGCCTTTGCTAAAACTAGGGTTTCCATTTTTCCGGAAAAAAATTTCCATTTTGGAAATGGAATGATCCGGAAATTTGTTGCGTAAACCGGAATTCCGGGATAATTCCGGTATAAATGGAAACCGGAAATTTTCCGGTTTACGTCACGTAAACCGGAAAAATTTCCGTTTTACGGAATGGGAACCGTGAAATTTCCAGTTTCCATTTCGTAAACCGGAAAAATTTCCGGTTTCCATTCCGTAAACCGTAAAATTTACAGTTTCCATTTCGTAAACCGGAAAAATTTCCGGTTTCCATTCCGTAAACCGGAAATTTTTACGGTTTACGTAACGTAAACTGGAAAATTTCCATTCCGTAAACCGGAACTTAAAGAATTTTTCTTATTTTAATTAAATTCATATTTACAAAGTTTGAAAATTTGAATAATTTCCCGAACGTTCCGGAATTCCGTAACGATCCGTAATTCCGGAACAACGTTCCGGAAATTTCCGTTTTACGGAAAAAAATCGTTCCGGAAATCGTTCCGGAATACCGGTTTTCCGGAACCTTTTCCATAATGGAAATGGAAAAAATTTCCGGATCATTTCCGTACGTAAACCGTAACCCGGAATTCCGGTGGAAACCCTAGCTAAAACATTAAACCTAAGTCTAAATAAATTAATATATTTTAACAGAGAAAGCTCCCGTATTTCAGCTCCTTGCATATTGATATATATACTTATTTCATGTCTTTGTATTTTTATGTAAACTCCATTAAAAAAGGGGAATGCCGCCCCGAATCACATCAGTACCAAGAAGGTCAGAAGAACGAGGGTTGGTGTAAGTCGTAGTTTGTAAGTTTATATTGATTATTTATTAATATTATGTTAGTCGTGCGTGATAATTTACACGTATTAAACTAGGAATTTTTTCTTGTGGTTTAATATCTATTAATATCTATTTTTGGAGGTTGATCCCCCACCCCTTTCCCTCTTCGCCCCTGTTCATTTTTGGAGGTTGATCCCCCACCCCTTTCGGTTTAGCCCCTTTTTGATCTATGGGAGTGTGCAGGTAAGAATGAATTGGATAATTAAGTTCATTAATTAGGCGCAATCCTAATTACTTCTTCATTCATATGGTGTGCGAAAAAAGTATTTTTGTGCACATTTTTATTGTTTCATTTTTTGAAAAGAATGTACTTGAATATTTAAATTATTAAGAGAAAAAATACCAAGGGTATAAAATCCAACCCCAACCCCAACCCCCTGAAAACCTTAGAATAAAAAATTTCGTTTCAGTGAATTAAAAGTATATTCTAGGGGGGGGGGGCATGTTCATACAGGAATTGAGTCTTTAAATGTCACAAACTCAGCTTTTCTAAACTCTATATCTTTGCAACTTGACGGTATTTGAATTTAATATTTCAAACTTAAATTATCTGATCTAACAGGAAGCATAGTTTGAAATATCACAGCATCGAGTTGCAAAGATATAAGGATTAGAAAATTAGAGCAAAGGCTTAGTTTGTTTTTTTAGTTCTTTTTCCTGGTCCACCCTGTGTATTGGTAAAAGTGCCACCTACACCATCACATCCACTAATTAATACTTGAAGCACGTACTCCCCTTGCAAGATCTAATCATCCAGGAGAATATAATGGAAAATCAAATTGAGAGCATGAGTCTTTTGGGATTAGAAACTTCAGGTTCTTTACCAGGGGAATGTACAGGGGGGGGGGGGCAATCCATTTCCCCCTTTCAGAAAAAAAAATTACCCCATAACAAAACCCCCTCCCCTTTGTTTTACATAACCATAAAATACATTGCTGAACAAAAAAGTTTTGATAGCAAATAGGAAAAAGGGGTTTGAAAGTTTTGAATCCCTCGGGGGTTCAAATCATACATTCAGCTCAAGTTATTTCACATAAGGGTTGGGTTTAGGTATAAAATGGATTAGAAAAATCAAAATATGTTTTCTTAAATCCTTTACTTACCACTTGTGGCCTTTTTGGATTTGATTTGATTTTAATTTTCAATTTTGATTAAAGACAAGCATTTTGAAACCATGATTGTTTGGTTTTAAAGTGAAAATAATTTTTTGAATTTACTGAAAAAAATGTAATCTTCATTTTAGAGTTTTGAAAAAAATAGTTTTTTTAGATTTGAAAAATTTACCTTGACCCCGAAGTATGGTTCAAATTGTCTTCTATGAGTGAGAATATCCCAAAGAGGAGTTGGAGGAGGATAGGAGGGATAGTCTCCTAAAGATGGCAGCGCTAGAAAATACAAAAATTTAGATCTAAAAGAACCCCCATTATATCATAACATGATATCGATCATTCATCCCCCATTCCCTCTTGGTAATTAATCCCCACCCCTTACAAATTTAACCCTCTGGTCATGGAGAGGCAACTTCCCAACAGTATTTAAACCCAAGTGGCAGCTTCCAAAATATTCAATTTCTCAAGCGGCAACTTCCGAAGTCTGTTTTAGCCGCAGCGCTCGGACCTTAAAATTTTCAAGCCGCAGCGCTTAGCCTCTAGATTTTCTAGCCGCAGTGCTCTGCCCCAAGCCCATCCTAGCCTTAGCAAACGGTCCCATAGCCTACGGCGCCTCAGAAGGCCTAACCTATCCTTTGGGAAGTTGCCGCTTGGGAAAATGTACATTTGGAAAGTTGCCACTTGGTTGATTCCCCTGGAAAATTCCCCCTTACCTTCTAAAAATAACCCCTCTCTCCCTGCAAAATTACCCTGCCCCTTGAAAATTATCCCCTCCCTGCAAAATTACCCTCCCCCCTGCAAAATTACCCGTACCCCTTGAAAAATGACCTCCTCTCCCCTGCAAAATAACCTCTTTCCCCCCTGATAGCAAAATACCCCTCCCTTGAACCTCCCCCCCTTTTATGGCGAGGGCAAATATAATGCAAAAGCTCTAGTTTTGCATGATTATACCGTGCATTGAACTTACAAAAATGCTAAAGGCGGTTGTATCAATATTTCGTCATCCAGTTCAAAATATTTCTGCAGGGGGAACCCGTAATAAAGTAGCGATAAGAAAAACTGCATGTTAAAGACTTTGATTAGATTTTTAATGGACAAATACAAAAGTTTAACTTTAATCAAAGCAATAAAAAAATTAAAACCCGCAAATTTTGTACTTTTTTTTCGCCCCACCCTGTAGTTCAATTATACCTCGATCAATTGTAAATATCATAAAGTAATCTAAACTTGAAACAAGATTATATTAAATAGATACACACATGTGCTTACACAGATATAGATACAGATACAGATACAGATACAGATACAGATACAGATACAGATACAGATACAGATACAGATACAGATACAGATACAGATACAGATACAGATACAGATACAGATACAGATACAGATACAGATACAGATACAGATACAGATACAGATACATATGCAGATACAGATACAGATACATATGCAGATACAGATACAGATACATATACAGATACAGATACAGATACAGATACAGATACAGATACAACAGATACAGATACAGATACAGATACAGATACAGATACAGATACAGATACAGATTCAAATACAAAATACAGATACAAATACAAATACAGATGCGGTCTGAAAGTTAAAAGATAAATTTTAAATATTTAAAATTCTACAATTTCAAACAATTTGTATTTAATTTTCACTTTTAGACATTTACACTAACTTTTAAGTTAAACTTTAAATAGAAATGAATACTTTTTTATAAATCACGAAGAGCATTTCCTCTTGATAATAATTGGATTAAATAGAAGAATAGAAATTTGGCAGATTTTCTGGTTTTGAACTATGGAGAATTTACAAAACTCTAGAAGAGGATATAAACAAAGTCAGTCGGATTAATAAGTTTGTTTGTACAAACAGTGAGATTCAGAATACTGTGGAGCAAGAGTCGTCTTGTTTTTTCCTTTAATTATGAAATATCAATAGGGATTTTTTATTTTTTTTTATTTTTTATACTGAAATATTTCGGAAAATGTTCATGGTATGAAATAATGATAAACTGAAAATTGCTTGATCAGATTTAATAAATAGCGAGAGAAATTGAACTAGGTTAAGGGGCTCAATGTAATATGTGTAGTTCCACTAGTTCTCCTATCCCTTCAACCTTGTGGTTTTTATCTCACCTAATCTGTTCTTATCCTTCAGTTTATTCACTTTTCTTGTCATATACCAGATCACCTCTCTTCAAAAATAAAAACAATTTTTTCATAAAACTTAATAAAGTTTAAAAATATAAATTATAGAAATAGAAAATAGATTAATGTTTTAAATAGTAAATATGTTTTTAGGAAAAAAGAAAAATTTTGAATCATCTGGTCGAGATATAAAAAAAAGACCAATTACTGAATGAAGAATATGAAGAATGAAGAATGAAGAATGAAGAATGAAGAATGAAGAATGAAGAATGAAGAATGAAGAATGAAGAATAAAGAATGAAGAATTATGAATGAAGAATGAAGAATGAAGGTTTTGTACCTAATATGTTCCCTTGAGAATAAACTGTCTTCATTATTCTTCTCTCCCTCTAACCTAGACATTAAAATATGAAGAAAATTCCCAAAATTATTAAATTTACAAAATTTTGCAAACACGCTCTAGCGTCCAAACTAATTAAACATTCGGTCCTTGTCGACCCAAGAAGATGAACCTTATGATCACAATTTGACCAATTAGATGCCAATCATGCAATTCGACATCAATTGTTCGCCTTTTATCGTTGACATTTGTTTAACGGTAATATCCGTGTTAGATAAAAAAGTAAAAAAAAAACTCTGTAGTGTACAGCCGCTAGTGGGAGATTGTTGCATTATTTAGAACAAAACGACATTGAATTAAAATTGAAGAAACGGACGCCATCTACCCATGGTTAGTCCTGGGTGTGTCGTATTTTCTAACTATATAGTGTACTAGTATAATTATAACTTTTACCAAACATATAATTTTGCATAATTATGTTAAAAATAATAAGACTTGTAAATCTTATCTTATGTACACTCCACACTTTGCACTCTACACTCTACACTCTACACTCTACACTCTACACTCTACACTCTACACTCTACACTCTACACTCTACACTCTACACTCTACACTCTACACTCTACACTCTACACTCTACACTCTACACTCTACACTCTACACTCTACACTCTTCACTCTACACTCTACACTCTACACTCTACACTCTACACTCTAGATTATGCCTTCTATTCTCTTCAGTTTAACAACTACATACTTCTAACTAGAATCAAAAGTTACTGTTTGAACAGCTAACAAACTTAGTTAGTGTTTTATCACGTAGACATAGACTGATTAAAAGTTAGTCTGCGGCCATTGAATATAAAAACGAGATTTAAAAAAAAGTTTAATACCATGCATAGAATTCATTGAAATGTAATGATATTTAATTTAATAACTTCAGGACTTCCTTATATGTGTCTCCTTCTCAGCAAGACAACCCCCCCCCCTCCCCCCAAATCGCTTTTATTATTAACCCTATTTCTACTAGAAATTTACTTATTGTGTCGAGGCTGGTAATTTTGTTTGACTTATTAAACTAACATAAGTCCATCACTTCAGTATTAAAGCTGGACTTTAATTCCTATTTTCTGAGTTCTCATGCATGCTAATTGACCGACAAAATATATATTCAGACCTCCTAGCTTTCTCAGTCTTTAATTTCAGCATTGTAAAGCTTTTTGCTTAGTCTACGAAAAATGTTTTATTGGCACATTTTTTACATTAAAATTTCACATACTTTTACTTTTTAAATTTCACATTTAAAAAAATTTGCACATTTTTAATGGTTTTTACTGAGGAGACATCATTTATCATTGTTCAAACATCATTTATCATTGATCAAACATCATTTATCATTGATCAGACATCATTTATCATTGATCAGACATCATTTATCATTGATCAGACATCATTTATCATTGACTAGAAATTATTTATCATTGATCAGACATCATTTATCAAATCAGACATCATTTATCATTGATTAGACATTATTTATCATTGATCAGAGACATCATTTATCATTGATCAGACATCATTTATCATTGTTCAAACATCATTTATCATTGATCAAACATAATTTATCATTGATCAGACATCATTTATCATTGATCAGACATCATTATCATTGATCAGACATCATTTATCATTGATCAGACATCATTTATCATTGATCAAACATCATTTAACATTGGGCATATAAAGTTCTGAAGGATGTTTCGTTGTGAATAAGGTAAGCCCTGTTATTGAAAATAGAAAAACGTTCCTTTAACGGATAATTCGAAAAAAAAATTAATGGCGAAAGTGTTTAACCTGCCAAGTTGATTAGTATCCTTAAATATACTAATTTCTGAGTACGCAGTTCCTAAACATAAATATTTAATCAGAACTAATCATGATGATCGAAAATTCTTTTATCTTAAAGGAAATGAGTTTTTGCCACAAACTCTAATTTTCGAATCCTTGTACCTCTTTGCAACTTGATTTTGTAGACCTTTGATATTTCAAAATATGATTTCTATAGCATCATCAGTGTAAGTTTGAATTATCAAAGGTTTAAGACCATCAGGTTGCAAAGTTAATTTCAGATTGTGGCAAAAACTCAATTCCTTATTTTTTGGATCGGTTTTAAATCAATTAATTTTTAAGGCGACACCAGAATTTATTCTAAAATATTTTATTATTTTATAAAAATTTCACGAGAGATCGGCAATTCCTGTGAAACCACTAGATATGGAAAAATGATTTTTATACATAGTTAAGTTTACTAAAGATTTTATTGGGGATTAAGCCATACATAATACACATACAGTCGTTTAAGTTATTTTGGATATTAAATCAAAATTAAATGAAATATAGGATAGCTGAAAGCATTACGAAATAGAGAACATTCGAAAGAGTACCACAATGGTTTCAGTAGAAGTAAATATTTCCATTTACTGTTTTTGCGCGCGATACAAGGATTCATAACTCTAATTGGATAATGAGATAGATAGAAAGATAGTTGTTACCGCCATACTATTTTTATTGGTTCAGAATAGACAACAAACACATGACTGAACCCTTATTGGATCAGGCGCTAATGGACTTGGTATACAAGAGTAGTATGAGAACATTATTTTATGTATTTAAGACAAAAGTAGAAATAATTTTTCACACAATGTTTCTGGCTACTGAGTTATTTTTAACTATAAATATGTGATACATTTTGTTCTCAAATTCTTAATCACGATTTGCTTTGCTTAAAAGTGATTAATTCTGATAATGATCCTTAATGTTTTCCTGCAGTGCAGTATAGTAACGCGTAAGTTACTTCTTAGATCCACTATAGTTTCAGTAGAAGTAAATATTTCCTTTTACTGATAGCGCCGAATGAAGGATTCATAACTCTGAGTGGATAATGAGATAGATAGAAAGATAGATGTTACCGTCATACTATTTCTATTGGTCCAGAATAGACAACAAACACATGACTGAACCCTGATTGGATTAGGCGCTAATGGACCGGCATACAGGAGTGTAGAAAACTCACAATTGAAAATTATCGCTTTTTATACTTGAAATACATTGACATCTAACTCAAACTTATTCAGCCACAGGTTTTAAGGGTACCGCGCGTTGTGAATTGGACATTTCTGACATGTTAATAAAGGGTTGCTTAAAACTACTCTGAAATTGCTTTAATATTCCAAAAAAATGTAAAAGCTTTTTTCAAAAAGTAAAAAAGTGTAAAAAATTTACCTAAATAGAGAAAAATTAGTTTGATCCTCATTCTGGTTGAAGGAGTTTGATGAATATTTCCTCAAACTAACATATTCTTGAGATCTGAAGCAATAGTGATTTTGAAAGAAATATTTCTTACAATACCCTCGCAAACAATTGTGATAAGTCTCTTGGAGGTTAAAATAAAATTTACACTGTTAACCCTATTTCGACTGACCGACTGACTGGTGTGCCCAAAATAGACGGGGGGGGGGGGGTGAGGTTAATGTGACAGGGGCATGTATTTAGTTGGAAAATTCAAAAATTTCGAAAACCTTAGATCAATACTTTTAGAGATATCGCAAAAAACGGTCAACCCCCCCCCACCCCCCGGCCTTCAGTCGGAATAAGATTATTCAACATCAAGATTTTCACTGGAGTCAATTAAAATTTTAAACTTTAATTTAATTACAAAAAACAGGAAATGTGTTGATATAATGGTTCTATTTAATTTATCAAATAATAGTCCTATTATGTACTGCCAATCATCAGAAGAATTAAAAAAGCCTTTTAAACATGTTAGAAATATTTGGAGTGTTTTGTTTAATTATTTTAAAAAGATGAACAAAGGTAAATGCACTTAAAGTAGTTCTATTTAAAATTCTAAAAGAACTGAAAAAACCTTTGAAAAAAATATATATAATTGTTAATAAAAAAACGAACCATATGTTCCAAAAGATATATATAATTGTTAAAAAAAACGAACCATGTGTTCCAAAAGATATATATAATTGTTTAAAAAAACCATGTGTTCCAAAAGATATATATAATTGTTTAAAAAAAACGAACCATGTTCCAAAAATAATGGAAAAAGATATATAAAATTGTTAATAAAAAAACGAACCATGTGTTCCAAAAAAAAGCTTATCTTAACAATTATATTATTTTTAACCTGTCTAGTAAGACTTGTGAATTCCATAAAACATAAACAGTTTGTTTTAATCTTCGTGACAGAAAGAATCTTAAAAAATAATTGCCTTAAAACATTTTTTTAGACAAATTAAAAATATTTGCAAATTATCTTTTTTCCTTCTCATGATCCGAGTACGTATCCCTTTGCACAATTTTTTTTGAATAATCTTTTTTGTTTGTTTATTTTCTAGTGGTTTTTATTAATTTTTTTTTAATCGATATTGATGGTTATTATATCGTTAGAACTGACGAGGGTCAACCCAGACCGAAATATATTTTCAATAAATGTGGAACTAAAATATACTTTTTTACTCTACAGATGTTTGGTCCATCACCATTCCCGATTTTTAAATAATTTTTCCTTTCAACTGTTATTTATTAAGCTTTTAAAAACTTAATCACTCAAACATTATAACAATGCTCTTTATAACGTGCCTTGCAAGCTTAAATCATTTTAACATCATTTTTTTTATAACCCTTTTTTCGTAACGGACATTATAAGATATCATTTTGAAAACATAAGTTAACATTCTTTATTACCATGTGTTTAAAAACTTATTGTGTTCCTAAAAAATGTCAAACTAATTAAATGAACTTAGTGAATGTTTCTTATCTTTATTCCTTTTATTGAAGAGTTATTGAGAAGAAATGTTTGTTTTGAATTTATAATATCTAACCGATCTGACCCTTTAATATAATATCTAACCGATCTGACCCTTTAGTATAATATCTAACCGATCTGACCCTTTAATACAATATCTAACCGATCTGACCCTTTAGTATAATATCTAACCGATCTGACCCTTTAATATAATATCTAACCGATCTGACCCTTTAATATAATATCTAACCGATCTGACCCTTTGATATAATATCTAACCGATCTGACCCTTTAATATAATATCTAACCGATCTGACCCTTTAATATAATATCTAACCGATCTGACCCTTTAATATAATATCTAACCGATCTGACCCTTTAATATAATATCTAACCGATCTGACCCTTTAATAAAATATCTAACCGATCTGACCCTTTAATAAAAGTAAATTCAACCTAAAGTCTGACCGCGTCAACCTTGTTGCACCGGCTAGTCCTTTTGAGTGTTTGCTTTATTAACCCAAAGTCCAGGCGATACAGTACAAACTGGGACTGGAAATGTTGACCCGGCTCGGAAATTCAAATGTACTACTGCAGCCCGTGATTTGCTTTTCGTACATTTTTGCGTAAAATCAAAGCTGGAGGAGCAACGGAGTCGCAGAGTCGTAATGGCAATTGCATTTGTTCTTCTCCTTCTGGTTGGTTTGATATGAAAGCATTCTTTTTCTTTTTATGTTCTTTAACACTTTGTAATCTTTTGACACACTCACACAGATTCTTATAAAAGTAAAAATTAGACAATTCGTGGTGAAACATAAAAGTTGCTGACAGCTGACATCTCAATCTCGGACACATTGGACACAAAAGATTCTTTTCCAATTTCTTGCAAAATCTTAAATAAAAGATAAAAAAAGTTTTGCAATGAAAAATATTAAACATGGTAAAAACTGAAGAAAAAAAGAAAGAAAACTGGATAAATTTTTTTTTAAAAAATAAGTTGAAAAACAGGGAAAAAATGTATATTATAGCAAAAAGAAGAAATAAGGAAATCGAGAGTGAAGTATGATAAAAAATAGGAAAACTAAAATTGTAAGAAAAGGAAAAAATGAGGAAAATTTATTCTTCTATCTATCTATCTATATAACTACCTATCTGTCTACCTATATATCTATTTTTCATCAATCTATCTATTTATCTATTATTTTGTCTGTCAGTCTATATATTTATCTATCTATCTAGCTTTCTTTTAATTTAAAAATGTCCCTTTAATGTAACTTTAATATATCTGTAATAAATATAGTAGTAACCCCATATGTTGTGAACATGAACATACCTATATATTACGTTATAACATTATCTGTACCCTAACTACGTTAATTAATTTCTGAAAAGACCTGTCCGTCCATATTATTATCATGTACTATAAAACCCAAAATATAGATTAGTTGGACATGAACCTTTGCTTTATTACGTTTTGACACATATTATTCTGAGAGCGAGTTGTATCTGAATGATACATACTTAAGAACACAGAGGAATAGTGTTGTATCTGGATTGATACAGATTAAAGTATTATTGGAGAAACTAGAGTTTGTAAGCGAGTTGTATCTGAACAATATATACCTAATTGAATACAGGGAATGTTGTACCTAGCTGGATTAATACAGACTATTATTAGTTCTTGTGTACAGAATATAGAGTTTGAGCGAGTTGTATCTCGATTGATAAAATACAGAATACAGAATAGTGCAGATGGTCATACCTGGATTGGTACTGACTTAAAAAAAAACTATTGGAGTAAGGCATTTGTAACATTTTCGAAATATGTATCTATCTATCTATCTATCTATCTCATTCTGTAACTTTAAGATTTATCTATCTAGGTATCTATAAATCAGTTTGTCTATATTTCAATCAAGGTTTCCTAAAGACCTTATCAGCACACTGACACACGCAATGACTAAGCTTTGACTTCAAACCCAAGAGAAAATTTATTCCATTTCATGCGAAGAAATTGTCATGTTTGAACATTAAAACCAACCTTCCTCCCTCCCTTCTCCTCAAACGCCAAACCTACTTAAATATTTTGTTATTGATAAATTAAAATAATATTTCAAAAGTTTTATTTTATTTCAAATTGAATTTTAGTTTATTAAAATATTATTTAAGTATAGTTACCCAGCAATTAGAATATCTTGCTATATGTTAATGTTAATGTGCGTGAATTGTTTCCAAAACATATCAAACGACTAATTTGTTTTAAAAAATGTTTTTCACACACATTATTTTATTGAGTCATAATTTAGTTATCATTGAAGATCTCCCAACTTAACAGTCCCTTAATACCCTTCCCTTTACCCTTCCCTTTACCCCTCCCATTACCCTTCCCTTTACCATTTCCTTTACCCTCCCTTTACCCCTACCCTTCCCTTTACCTCTCCCTTTACCCTTCCCTATACCCTTCCCTTCACCCTTCCTTTACCCTTCCCTATTCCCCTCCCTAGTTACCCATTTTTCCCGTCTAGTTTTCTATTTATTCTGTCTAGTATAGTAGTAGCCCAGGGGAGCAGACAGTTCAAACCTGATGTTTCATTTTTAACGGAGTCACGGAATACGTGGAACAACAGGTTAATTTATTTATAAATGTAGATAACAAAATCCATCCAAATCTTCTGCTACACATCCTCTGATTCATTTGTGGAAATCATGGTTAATATATTTAAAATAAGAAATGAATGTGTTAACTTGAAATGTAGAATATATCTTATTGTTGACTTTAAAAGTCACTATAATAAAATAAAGAGATCTAAAATGGATAATTCTAACATTTATTTAAAACAACTAGTGTTTTGAAATATTTGCATTTAGAAATTAACAAAGGAATTAATGATGGATATTTGATGGTACTTCATGGGAGTGTTGTAGAGCTTCATGTTGGTTGAGCAGATCAACAGGAACTGGGGCAACAGGGCTTATCCAACCTAGTAGGCGGAGATCGCGGCTTTATCATGCTGGATTTGAGCGATTATGTTGTCTCTGGAAGTGGAGTGCATGATAAACTGGGAACCCACGGGTAAGCCTGTCTGCTGCTAATTGAGTATCTGCGTCATCATCATAAAGGAGTCAAGAGGCTCCCTGTGTTGGAGCTGTTACTAGTTCAACTGTCCTAACCTGACTGACTGGGATGTGTTATAGAGGGGTGAGGCAGGGAAAGAAGGAGCGAGGGTTACATGTGTGTACTTCATGGCGGAAATGGATCTTTTGTACACAAGCATCTTGAGAAAAGGCTATGGCATTTGGGTCGGAAAAATCGTCTTCCTTATATTTCAAATTTGTTTTAACATTACCCCCTACTGGGTTTTAATTAAAATGGGATTTTAATTTAACAAAGAATGAAACAAATTTGAAACTTTAAAATCCAACCAACCAAGATATAACCCGCCTAGATTTCCATATTTCAAAATGTTGACTTTAAAATTGTTGCGGATTTTTATAGATTTCTCCTATCCTTAAACATCACTGGATTAAATCGGATAAAAGGCGAGTGTTCAA